ATGCTTTAGGGTAAAGCATACTATTAAGAAAAAATGGATCTGTTAAGGTTTCTCAATGGGAATATTTCATCTCTGGAGGCTACCTTTGTGAGGGATCAAGTGCCTTTGGCTGCCTTGTAATTTTTAGCATCAGTAGGGAAGAATCAGACTCCTTTAGGGACTCTTGTGTGCCTCTGGCAGGTGGAGGGTAACCGTGCTAAGAGTTATGACTGCTGCTCCTCTGGATGGGTTTTGTAGAATTGCAGTCCTTGCAGATTTTTTTTTCCCCTTCATCATTTTGAGACCTCAGATTTCCATATTTATTTGTTATAGGGACTTAACCTAGGATCTGAGTAATTTTTCAAATTCAGTGTTGGCTAAGATTTGGGGATTTGATTGTTTGGTTGGTTGGTTGTTTTTTTTACTTTGATTTGTTTTCTGCTTTAACATTTTAGATGGGCCTCTTAGGCCGCATTTGGAAAGGTTCAGAATTAAGTTGTTCAGTATTGCCTGAAATACTGGTTACGACAGAACTCCAATTCACTTAATATATTTTCTCTGACAGTAGAGTTTAGAGTACAGTTATTAGACAGTTTAGAGGAATGGCTACTTATTCCGTTATGCTTGGCAGAAACAAATTTCTTTTTAATAGCCATCTTTTATCAAACAGCTGTTGTGATAGATGGTTTAGAAACTTCAGTGTAGGATAGGATTCTTTTTTTTTTCCAGCATCTTATTAAATTGGCTTCTACTGAGTTTTATTTTCCCCTTTATATTACTAGAAGACTGATAAAGATTAATTCTTGTTTAATACTGAAGATTAAAAATATCTAACTGCATGTTTAAATATATGCCTTTGATATTACAGAGAGCTCAAATGTTAGAATGGCAAAAGGACATTGGGTGTTTGTAATACAGTTGGTTCTTGCCTTGGGAGATAAACATAGCTGTTAAGTCAGTGAAGCTACAGGCTGCACTTGTTATCCCTTTTCAATACTGTGTAACTAGTGCAGCTCAGCTCTGGTGGTTTAGAGGTTGTTATGATAATGGATTTTTTCAGATGACTCACCCACTTTCTCCTACTCTTCCAGGCCCTGGAGACAGTTCATTCTTTATTTTCTTAAGATTTGAGCATATTTGTTACAGTCAATCAGTAGTTCAGTTCAACAAGTAATATAGGGAATCTCAAATGAAAGTTCATATCCAGTGTATCTGTCCATACACTATTTATTTGCTTTTTGATTTTTTTAATTTTATTTGATTAAGGGAGTGGAGAAGCTGTGGGTTGATTTATTGTCTCTCGATTTCCTGGAACTCATCAAAGGCAGTTTTTATTCAAAAATAAGAAAACAAACACTTCTCAGAATTCATGCTGTTGACAGATCAGCTGTCACCTGACAAGAATTTTAGATTGTCTGTTGCATATAAGAAGTGGGAAATCTGTTGCAGTCACCTCTACTGGATAGTAGGAATGATGCCTTTTTAATGTCAAAAGAATACTGGTAAGTTTTTTAACATGTTGATCTCTAAGCAACCATTTAAAAAAAAATGTTCTGTTTATTGGTTTGGGCTGATAGAGATTTCGTAATTTTAAACTGGAATTATTTAAACCACAGATTTTGTGACCAATAATACTTCTAGCAAAGCACAAAAATTTGCAGGGAGGAGGGAGAAGACTGTAATGGAAGGAGGTCAGTGAAGGTTTAGTTTCACCATTAGGCACCTGGATGAAGTCCATAGGACACAGTGATAATTGCAAAAAAAAGATGGCATCACACTGCCTGTGAAGTTCCTGAAATGCAAGAGGTCACTATTGATCTAAAGCTTTTAAGTAAAAATAAGCCACTGGAAATAAATCTGTTATGAAAAAAAAAAAGAGCCTTTGCTACTGCTTAATATTTTAACCCTTTTGAGATTTGAGGATAAACAATATTCATCTTTTGAGTTGCCCTGACACTTGGGCAAATATCAGTTTCTCATTCTGCATGCAGATGTTCAGGTCTCAAAGGAAACTGGAACTGAATTGGATGTGCCCCTTTGGTTCTGTGGCATGTGATTCACCAAATCTTAACAAACATAAATAAAAGGTGAAAATTCAGTTGTCTCTGTTGAACACTGGTTGGCATCTGTACTGTCTAAAAAGTCACAATTTAGACAGGAGACCATGAAAAAGATGAGGTAGAGAATGACCAATGATCAAGCAAAGAATTGGTGGTCCAGGTTTGCAATCAAATTAATTGGGGTGAGGTGAACAGGAGGAAAAGGTAAGCAAGAAAATGGAGGCCAGAGGAAGGTTAGGAATGGAACAGAGGGCCTAGAGACAAAACATGTGGAAAAGGCCAAGGTGCACAATACCTTCTTTACCTTTATCTCTCAGTCCAGAAGAAGCAGATGAATTGACTTTTGCTGTTGGAAGGTAAACTTGTTTAGAAGTCAGATCTAGGGGGAGGGTGGCAAAGGCAGTGAACATCTCCCTTTCCTGTGCACGATGGCAACATGCAGCACAGTGGGCAGTGTCTGTAGTGTAAGGCACCTTTTAATCAGCATTTAGAGCTGGCTGATTGACAGAAGGAAATGGACGTGTGCCTACAATCAAATCTATCTCTACAGGAAGTAGGGAGATGTAAGATGCAATCGATAAACTGCGAGAACAGTTAACAAAGTACCAAGAAAGCTCATGAAACCTGGATTTTGAAGGCTATGGCATAAGAGAAAGGCTGTTTGGATTGGATGTGAGACAAAGGCCTAAAGCAGAATGAAGCAATCACTTTTGGATAGAGGTCAGCAGAGGAAATCACTTGACAGGATTTGCAGTTTGCTGCCTGGAGGGATTGGACATGCCCTTTTTCAAAAGCTGCCAGAGGCTGAACATCCACAGGTCAGGTGGCTTCAGAGCAGCTGTTGTTCAGGGGATCCCAGTGGGAAGGAAAATGCAAGCCAACTGTTAGCAAGGCTATGTATCCACAAATAACCTAATTCTGAGCTGATTCTCTGGTAGCCCAAGCAATGTTCCTGGCCTCCTCTACTGGGCTGCAACCTGTAATCTTTTGTTGGTTTTATCTTCCATGTGTTTTTCTTCTGTCATCCTTTCTGTTGACCTTTAGGTGAAGCTGGTAGCAGGGGTTTTTTTAAACCCCCCTTAAAGCATCCACATGTATGCAGAGATTGTGATTTCAGTGAGCTGGAGTGCTGTGTGACTGAGGGACTTTGGAAGCTCCTGGCTGATGGTGGGTATGAAAGAAAGTGGAGTGATGGGGATGCAGCAATACCCAGACACCTAAAACTGACAGAATGTATCAGCTGCTGAGCTGGGACTCTGGAGAGGAGGATGGAACAGCTTAATATAGAAGGGATTAGGGGGTGGGGAGTTGCAGGAAGAAGTCAGGAAAGAGCCTGGAGAGAGCAGGGAACCTGCTTGTTTACTGAACAGGTTGAGATGGATGGGAGGACAAGGAGCCTGGTGCTTGAGTGGATGGAGCTTCAGCTGAGAAGTGTTGAGAGAACACAACAGTTTTGGCCACACACTGGCCTCAACTACATTAGCAGTTGAGGTTAGAGATTGTCCCCTCTAGTCAGCAATTGTGAGACCCCATCTGGAATACAATTTACAGTTTGGGGCTCCCCAGAACAAGAGGGGCATTGACATACTGGAGCATGTCCAACAGAGGGCCATCAAGATGATTTGGGGCTGGGGCATGGTGAGGAGAGGTAAAAGGAACTGGATTTGCTTGGCCTTCAGAAGAGTAGGCAAAGGAGAGATGTGATTGCTGTCATAAAGTCCTTAATGCGATGGTATAGAAAAAATGGAGCCAGACTCTTTTCAGAGGTACACAGGGAAAGGGGAAGAGGCAACGGGAACAAGATGAAATGTTGGAGACTCTGGTTAGATATTAGGGAGGATTTCTTTTATTATTATTTAAGACAAAACAAAACAGAATTAGATTATGGAACAGGTGCCCAGAGGCACTGCAGACTCTACTCAGAGTTGCTCTGTTACTCAAGATTTAGTTGGACAAAACATTGATCAATCCAGTCTGGTTGTCTCTGCTTTGGCTTGTGAGTTTAGACTACCTGACTTCCGATATTCCCTTCCAACCTAGATGTTTCTGTGCTCAGAGTGGGAGGGGAAAGAGCTAGAAGCTGTGGCATGGGAGGGAAAACTCTGGAGCTGAGGTCAGAAATTAAGGTTCAAATAGCTATCATTGAGAGATTTATGTTATGGTGGGGTCCTGTTTAAGTCCCTGTTTTGGGAAGATAACCATCCAAAACTGCCTCTCTAATTATCTTTCCCTCCTCTTTCTCTTTAAATTCCTTTTTTTGCTGTTGGGAATGTAGTAGTTATATCTCACAGCTATTTTCTTTTTGAAGACACAACTCATACACAATTGAAATTGCACCCTTCAAAATTAGGTCTTAAATGCAAATGTTTTTATTCTGTGGTCAGTGGCAGAACTAGTAAGATCTGCAAGTTACATTATTTAAACAAACAGTCTCTTTTTTTTTATTTCAATTGTTGCATTACAACATAACATTACTACCTATTTAGATATTTTGGTTTGTGTTTTTTTAAGGCTTTGAATACCTGGTGCAGAATTGCATATGCATTCCTAACTAACTTTACACTGGCACTAGCACTACTTTACACTGCACACTACTTACGGGAAAGATTTTCTTCTTCTGTGGATGCACTGGATGGTCCCAATTCTGAGCTGCTGTCAAGTTGGGCTGAGTATGACTTGAGTTATTGAGGAGGGCAAGCAAAGATGGTTTACCAGTTGTCCAGAACTACTCAGTTCTCTGCAATTACTTATACTGATCTACCACAAGATTTTCCTCTTGACTACATGTCTGAGAGCTGGAGGACAGATTTATTCTCCTTTGTCATATGTGTGTCAGAAATACAGAAAATATCCTTACTCATGTCTTGTATTTTTAGCATAAATTGTTTGTCCGTTAAAAGGTTCTTACAGATAATTGAGTTGAATCTCCAAATTTAAAAGGTTTTACTTTCTTACTTCTAGGAAATTGAAAAATGAGCTTCTGGAAGTGAGAAGGAAAGGCGGAAACTGTCACTGTCAGCAGGACAACAGCAGGGTCTGTGTTCGCTGTCAGAAAGGCCTGGGCTTAATCTTTGACAGAGGAGACCTGTGCCAAACCTGCAAGCTTCGAGTCTGCAGCAATTGCCGTGTCGTGGGAGCTGACGGGCAGTGGAAGTGCTCGGTGTGTGCCAAGATTGCGTAAGTTGTGCAGCTTTCATAAACACCTTTGGAGATTAAAGCCCTGTAAGTAATTTTGTGCTGCTGTTACTGTTGTACATCCCCTTAGCACAAAAGCATATGTGCAGTGAATACACGAGGGAAGAGGTTTATCTGGTGGTTGTATTTGCTGCACTGCCTAGTACTCTCTTTTTTCCCAGTTACATGATGGTTTCACCTGGCTTGTTTTCCAAAGAAAGCTGCCAGTATCCCAGATTCTAGGCTCTTAGTGAGAGTACTCTGAAAATAACAGAAAATCAGTTATAATCCATTGCCAGCCTATTCACATTATGAAGATGTAAGTGTAAGCATCAAGTAATTCAAAATTAACAGAACAGAGTTAAGAACAAGTGAGGTCTGTGTGTTCTGACTGATGGGGTAGGCTGCACTGTAAGGAAAGAGATGTAAAAATTGTGAGTCCAAGCATTTCAGTCCGTGTTTCTGTCCTTGGGTTTTTTTTCTGTCTTTATAGTAACTGAACATCTAAGTGTGGAAAAAGAGGGTTATATTTATATTGTCTCTATTAGTGGACATGCTAAACTAAATTGTTCTATGATAGGAGGGAAAACAAAAGGGATCCCTCATTTCTCACAGTTGGAATACTGAACATGGGGAATGAAGAAGGAAGGTAGTCAGCATTGTAGATGGACATCAGTGACAAATGGTGTCCCTATGGGGTCTGTACTGGGACCAGTGTTATTTAATATCTTCATTAATGACATAGATGAAGGGATCAATTGCAGTCTCAGCAAATTTGCAGATGACACCAAGCTGAGTGGTGCAGTTGACACACCCGAAACTCAAGATTCCATCCAGAGGGACCTGGACAAGCTTGAGAAATGGGCCCATGGGAATCTCGTGTGGTTTAAAAAGACCAAATGCAAGCTGCTGCAGCTGGGTTGGGGCTATCCTTGGTGTCAACACAGGCTGGGGGATGAACAAATGTAGAGCAGCCCTGCTGAGAAGAATTTAGAGGTGCTGTTGGATGAAAGGCTGGATTTGAGCCAGCAATGTGTGCTGGCAGCCCAGAAAGTCAATCATATCCTGCGTTGCATCAAAAGCAGCGTGGGCAGCAGCTCGAGGGAGATGCTGCTGCTCCCTCTGCTCTGCTCTGGTGAGACCCCACCTGCAGAACTGCATCCAACTCTGGGGTCTCCAGCACAGGAAGGACACTGACCTGTTGGAGTGAGTCTAGAGAGGTGGAGCACCTCTCCTGTGAGGAAAGGCTGGGAGAATTGAGATTGTTCAACCTGGAAAAGAGAAGGCTTTGGGGTGACCTGATTGTGGCCTTCCAGTACCTGAAAGGAAATGACAGGAAAGACAGAGAGAAACTTTTTACAAAAGCATGTAGTGACAGGACAAGGGAGAATGGATTCAAACTAAAAAAGAGTAGGTTTGCACTAGATATTGGGAGGAAGTGCTTTCCTGTGAGGTTGGTGAAACAATGGAATGGATTGCCCAGAGACGTTATGGAAGTCCCATCTCTGTGAATGTTCAATGCCAGATTGGATGGGGCTTTGAGCAGCCTGGTCTAGTGAAAGGGGTTCTGCCCATAGGCAAGGGGGGTTGGAACTGAATGATCTTTAAGGTCCCTTCCAACCTCAACCATTCTATGATTCTATGAAGGTAGCAGATCACAGTGTTGAAAAGCAGAAAATCAGTATTCTAACACAGGATATCAAGTACATATACAAAAAGAAATGTTATATGTTCAAAGATATTTACTTGGTGTATTCTTGGAAGAATAATTCACTTGATTAGTGTGGTAATATGGGATTTTGTGGCTTTACTCGGTAAGATAACCGTGAAGGAAAGGAGAGAGATGTTGGGCAACAAAATTCAGTTATGTATCGTGTTGTAAGAACTCGTTGGTATAAGAAAGAGATGTCATAAAATAATAATGTTAAAAGGGGAAAGAATTAGAGGGATAAATTTGTTGGGTTTTTTATAGACCATCAAACTAATGAGATCAGAAAGGTAAGGGTTTTTTGTAAATTGTTTCAGGGACTGAAGGCAAATTGCTAGTTATGTCAGACTTTGGGTACCTAAACAGCTAGTGAAAATTTAATACAGTGGGGCATGGAGTTTAGGGTTTGTGCATTCTAACTTTAGCTTTAACAGGTTGCATCTATTTTTAACTAGATGCCTTAACTTTCTCTGCATCCAGTGGGGCACATCCAAAGGACAGTATCTCACCTCTTAAGATGAAATATGTTCAAGTATTTGATTTGTGAAATGATTTTAAACTGGCAGGAGCCTGGCTGAGCTCCTTGTAATTTGCTTCAATCAGTTTCTGAGATGATATTAACGTTGTGCCTTTCAGAAATGATGGGGTGCAGGTGAGATGACAGAGGAGAACAGTAAACATAATACTAATCTTTAAAAATGAAGAAAAGAAGAACAAGGGATGTTGACCCTGTCATACTACCTTTAATTTCTCTGAATAAACTGAAACCAATGATTGCTGTGTTGTTCAAAAGCTGAGAGATGACAGGAAGATGAGTAAGAGTTGGCTCAAGAACAAAGAATGTCAAAACCAATTTAATTTCCACCTTTGATAGGGTGACAGAGGAGGATCTGTTGACATCTTATAATTTGACTTGAGTTAACCTTTTGACAGTTTTTCTTGTGTCATTCTAATAAGATGACAAATCAGGGGAGCCATGCCCTGGAATAAATTCTGCCAGTGTGATTGCAGACCCCTCTGGAAAATTATAAACCTCTGTTCTCAGAGTAGTTATGGACATTTGACTGTCAAAAAGCCCCAAGAAGACAGAGGGGAAAAAAAAGACTCCTAAACAAATAAATTAAAACAAAAAAGCCACACGTACAAAAAAAACCACCTTCAAAAAAACCCCCAGTGGGATAGAGCAGAGTATTTCCTGGCTTTTTACAGTTAAGTATTTCAGTTAAAGACCTTGATGCAGCAGATGAGTTTGCCAGTTGCACCTGCAGGTGACATAAAACTGAGAGGTGCTCCAGGCATGCTGAAGGACAGGACTAGGATTTGAAGTGATGTTTAGAATTTAGAGAAGTGGTTTGCAGGAAAAGAAAGTGTTGGCTCCCTGTAGGCATGTGGAAGTACTACATTTGGGAAAAAATGCAGCTGCAGAGACATAGAATGAGGATAAAAACAGCTTATGCAGCTGTTCCTCAGGAAAGGATCTGGGTACTGTGCTGAATAAAAGCTGAACATGAATCAACAGTATTTTCCATTGCAGAAAAGTTGAGCATCACACAATGATGTACAAGCTAAATTATGGCCTGCCAAATACATGATGCAATCCTATTTTATGTAGAGTACCTGCCCAGTTTTATGTAGCGCAGTTCATGTTGGCCAGCTGGAGAAAGTTCAGCAGAAAATAATGATCCCAAGCCCAGCACACAGTAGGTCCAGAGTAATGGAAGGAGTCAGATGTGTTTGGCCAAGGCAAGAGAAAACTGAAAATAACTGAGTTTTAAGTCTACAGAAGGCAGGCATGTTGAAGAGGCATACAGGCTGTTCTGTGACCTCACTTTGGATAAGAAAAGTCATGTGATACTTAAATTGCAGTGAAAGGATTTAGGTTCATGGTATGAACATTGACATAACTTGGAAAGGCTGTAGAATGTTGTTCTAAAAACAGGTTGGATAAACCTCTCTTTGGAACCATGACATACGACATCAGTAAAGATGATTCAGTTTTGGGGCTGAAAGATGGATGAGGCAACTTCTCAAAACATGCACTACCACTGCTTCTCCTGCAGTGATTGTGCTGAAATTCTGCATGCCAAGCAGTGGTTTTAGCAATCACCTTGACAATTAACTGTGGTTGAAGCCTGCCTTTAAGTTATTACAAGCCACGGTGTAATTTGCATGTAAAGTGCTAAAGCCTTTGTTGGGTATCTTTATGAAATTGAAATCTGTGTCCTTTCTTTTTGTTCATATGCAGTGTTTTTACAAGACTATATGACAGTTAATGATCTGTAAAATCTCTTTTACACTGCTGGGAGTACACAGAGATATTATCTTCTGTGTGGGCTGTGCAGAGATAGAAGTTTGCAACAGGCATTTCAACTACATCACTGTGCATAGTTCTAGTTTAAATTATTTCAATTCTACTTTTCTCTCAGGTGAGAAAATCCAGGAGAAACCAGGATTTTTAGGCTTTTTGAGTTACAGTTGATGGAGGAGCTAATTAAGTTAATGCAAATAGAACCTTTGACAAGATGAAAAGGCAGAAGGCAAGGAAAAGAAAACAATCCAGAGTTAAGAGATATTTATTCAAACAAAAGCAGGAGGAGGGGAAAAATCTTTTCGCTCTGTAACACTGATCTGCATACTGTGTTTCTGTCTGTGAAACTGGAATGTTTTACCATACTACTGGCTTTGCAAAGAGTGTTGGAAAACTTTTATTTTTGTCCCTCTTCTTCGTCCCCCTCTTAGCAGCCTTGGTGAATAAGACTAGATTAATATTACCTGTATAGACTCCAGCACCTGCTGTACTACTCCATTAGCAGAGCCAGGCTATATTGTTTTTATGATGTAAATGTATGTTGTCATGCATACCATAAGACCTTTAAAAGTCAGGGAGAAGGGCTTATGCCCTTTATAAACTCTTTACAGCTTTGGTGCTGTACTAGTTCATGGCTGTTCTCCCAAAATTGTTCTCAAGAGTGTCTGTCAAATGCCACTTAAGGCAATGGTGACAGTAGTAACCTGTACCAGTCCTCTCACATAACCATGCATTATCCCTGCAGGACTATGTCCAAAAGCAAGTTTTTCAGAACTGTTGGGAAACCTACTGTATTGCATCTGGTGTCAGTGAAGAAGGTCTGATATTGGGGGTGGCGAGGGAGTGTGTTCATTCAAAGACACAAATAGTGCAGAAACTACTGCATATATCCCTTGAATTACACAAACAATCCAAAACGGGTGCTGAAACAAACAATTTGCTGTATCAATAAAAGAAAATGTGGATAATATCATCCAGCTTCTGCCT